TATTTTCTTAGGAATAATGTTTGGAGAATGTCTTTCCTTCAGAATATGGAAGCAGAACATGAATATAAGACGGATTGGGGGTTTGATATAGGTTCATACTGCGAAGTGACCCCGAAACAATTCACGGGAGCGGTGTTACAGGGATTAAAATTTTTCAAAAGTGTAAACTCCTTTATTTCTTTCTTCAGCAGATTGATTTACGCTCGTGTGAAATACCTCAAGATGGGCGGAAGGCGACTATGGGTAAGCTGAAGGATTTTGTAATCAAATTTTCTCGATAAAATAAACTTGGTTCTTTTGTTCATCAGCATTGAATTTCGAACGCGGTTTTTGCTCATGATAGCAGGAGAATGGCTGTGAACGCAACGCCGCGTATGTGTTGTGTAACAGCTAAATTTGAATTCATATTGTTTTTGTAGGTGTCGCTTGCTACCTTGGCGCTGTTAGCAGTTGTATGCGCTTCTGAAGTTGGCCACGGAAAGGATGCACTTGTCAGAAACCGTCGTCAATCTGGTGGTGGTCGACCTGGAGGTGGTGGAGGAGGACGTCCTGGAGCGAGTGGAGGTGCTGGTGGAGGAGGAGGGCACCCACGAGGTGGTGGACCAGGACAAGGAAATGGTGGATTTGGAGAACCAGGTGGAGGTCATGGCGGTGGATTGGGAGGACCAGGTGGAGGTCATGGCGGTGACTTTGGAGGTCATGGGGGTGACTTTGGGGGTCATGGGCATGGTCATGAACATGAACACGGTCATGGTCATGGACATGGACATGGTCATGGACATGGACATGGTCATGGACATGAACACGGTCATGGTCATGGTCTTGGTCATTGATGAAGACCTGGGTTTGGAGGTCCTGGCAGACCAAGGCCAGGATTTGGAGGACCTGGCAGACCTGGAGTGGCACCCGGAAGACCTGGTGGCCTCTCTATCACTGGACCTTTGGGTGGATCTGTTCCAATTGGATTACCCGGGATCATTGGTTGACCTCAACCTGACATCAACTTGCAAAGCATGTGAATTTTTGTCAGTCAGATCATTTTTGTACAAATGATGTTACGTGTGTCCCGTGGAATAAAGTTCAAGTCTGTTCAGCATGTCGATTCTGCTTGAAAATACAGGCAATTCCAAATAAAGACATTTCATACGAGCACAAAGTGTCCTGTCATGCAGAAATTAACTCATAATATGGACATTCGTCGCCACATTGAGCAAATTTTTGAAAACAATATTCATAGATAGTAATAAAAAAAAACAGATCACATACTCTAATTTCAAGGCCCTTAAGAAAGTTACTAAGGCATTGGTGCTGGGTCATTTTAATATGCATTTTGCTAAGTTTGTTTCAGCAATATCAAGTTTCTTCTCTCTTTTTGATATTAATGCCCATGTTACACAGGATGCCAGCATTTGAACGGTGAGCTTTTTGCCCCAGGTAAATCCCTGAAGTTTAGTTTCAGTGTGTACTGTTGTAATACTGGTCTTCTTCATTCCGAAGCTTTCTTAGCAAAAAAATGTTAATATGTTCCCCTGGTATTACCAAGGGTTGATGTACCTAAATCAACCATGAATCAGGAATTCCTCACATTTTAAAATAGTTCGACAGTTTAAATAAAAAATGAAATGGCTGATGGGATAAATTTCAACCATGAAATTCATCTCGCGTAAAGAAAAGCACGTTCCATGTTTTCCCTATTTGAATAAATAATTGACAATGGAAAATGCGGACACATGTTATGTTTATGATCGGAAGACGACTCAAGATGCACATGGAAATTTGAGTCAAGCGACGTACAGGCGTTCGAGAAATGAAATCAGAAGTTCTATTCATCGGCAAAATTATTTCGTCACTTGATCTGACGAAAGTTTGACCACATTCATGACGCATTTCATCAATTTCATGCTGCGAAATACGTTTCGGAGGTAATTATTCAAGAATATTGCTTCAGGCCTAAAAAAGTTCTAATTTTGAAAAGAAAAATGTTTTTTTGGAGAACTTCAGAAGAATAACCGAGTTAAGGTGTTTTATCATCAGTAAGTACTGTATAGTGAGCAAAATGTTACAGTTTAGAAATCTTCAGTTGCTGGCCAAGAGATTTAATTTTGCTGCCGGGTGAAACTCGATAAACGATTTCCCATTTACACTTCATGATTATATTTAATTTCGAACATACGCAAGTCATACGAGACTCCTGGTCTCCAGCTTATTGACAGACTCTCAGATGCGTAAAGTGTAGGCCACATCCGATTTCTGGGAGGAATAAAATAAACCCAATTTTGGACGAGGAAAACTGCTACCTGTAATCGCATGAATATATGGCAAATCTTTTTTCTTTACTTTTAAGCATTCTCGTAAGCATCGACCTACGCGAAAATCAACTGCCAAAATGCAGAAAAACATGATGTAAAAATTGTTTTTCCACTACATTTCTGAATCCTGGATTTTTCCGCGTCATCGATGAATGTACTGTACAGAATATCCATTTTTGGGTGGGTTCGCGTAAGGAACTCGAGGAACACCTGAAGGAACTGTTCGTTTCATACTTTATAGGTTCTATGAATTTCAAGGACAGGTTGAGGGCTCGGTTAGGGTGAAAGAACATTTTAAAATTCACCTGAAGGGCCAATGCACCCTCTGAAACCCCGAGGGCAAGAAAGAAGAGACCCTACGCAAGATATACTCAATTATTTGGGACAGTGAAGATACCAGTTCATGTTGCTATTATGACCATTCAGCGATGGGTAGAAAAATATGGATTTAATCACCTCATTTCATTATTTGAACGTTGCTATTAATTTATAATGTCGATTTGCTCTGTCATCGCCAGCACGGATAGATAATCAATCAGATATCTTCACAGGCTCTCTGACTGGGTTATTTTCCAAAATACTATTTTCCAGTTCAAGCGAAGACATTTTGAAATCATTTTTAAGAAGTTCAATTCCACTTTTGATGTCCATGAATCCGGTGTTTATAGAAAATTATTTCCTGGTCATTTTCTTTCTTAAGAAAATATGAAGGAAATGCGGTATACGAGATTTTCTTCGGTCTCAATACTCTCAAATGACAGTTTGTAAGTTACAGTGCTTAATATGGAAATGCAAAAATAAAATTTTACGGCCACTTTTAAATGTTATTTTCTGATGAACCTTCGAGTTTTTTTTTAATTCAGTCTATAAAAAATTGTCTACGGTCACTTTTAAATGTAATATTTAAAAGTTTATTTTCTGATGAACCTTCGAGTTTTTTTTTTATTCAGTCTGAGATTTTCCGAGCATAGAACGGGACTTGAGGCCAACTCCTCCAATATATTTCAAGAAGTTCCAAATGGTGACTCCTGCAGTATTGATCAGTAAAATACATTAAATTTCTCGAAGGAATCGATAATTATTTCAAAAATCCCTCTCGGTCAATCACAATAATGAATGAATCGTTGTGAAACCCTCACTTCAAATTTCGCCCGATCAAATCCACTATACCATAATCACGTGCTGGGGTCAAAGTCGGTTTACATATAAAGAGAAGCGAGGCTTTTCGCAGGTCCGTAAATAGGCAAACGCATTATGTAAAATAGAAACCGCTGGGCCGTGATGAGCGTGTCGTGCCCATCATGCTGTTGTTTTTTCAAGGTGCCAGAATACCTTTGCCTTACCTTAAAGGAAAAAGTCGACAGGGAACCCGCGCCCCGGAAACTATACGGGACAAGAGAAGGCCTTGAGCACGTTCAAGAAAAGGTATAATACCAGACTTGCCCTGGGCGCAGTTTCCATTCCAAAAAGTGGCTACACGTGGTGTGCAGAGATTTTGTGCTTGAAAATAGTAGAAAGAATCTTCAGTTTTTTTTTT